TTTTATTCCATAGTAAGGGCATTTCATACAATACATTTAAACTGAGCTACTTTAATACCATCTCCGAACTTTTTACCACGACTCTGCTGTTATCGGCTGGTTCTTCCCTGTATACGTTGATTGACAGATGTCTCGTCCAGTCAGCGGTGAGTAATCCCAAACCAATGGCGCTGTCTCAAACTATACCTACCTCTTCCAGTTTGTCTGTTTTGTCGTTGTGTTTTCTGAATTGTTAATTTGTTTTCGGATTTGTCGTTGTGTTTTCTGACTTGTTATAATGTTTTCTGAATTGTTGTTGTGCTTTCTGAATTGTTATTTTGTTTTTTAAACTTGCATTTGCGTTTGTAATTTGTTATTTTGTTTTCAGAATTGTGATTTGTTTAGCACTTCTAGGCCACAGTAGAAACCCTCCTTGAAAGCATTTTCATCTGTACTAGAGATGCACAATGTATTTATAACATATTGGACGGACGATATTAAGTATTTTAAATTTTTGGGCTGATACTGGATATTTTTACATATCTATTTTTACAATTAGATGACCTTTTTCGTCATCTAATGCTCATTTATAGTTAATCTTTAAACCATTTTTCTTTTCTTTCTCTAAGAAATATATTAAAAACATTTAATAACTGTAAAATATAATCTCTAACAAATCATACAATGAATATCCATTGTTCATACTGTACATTATAATATTTTGATGTAAATTTACTAGTGCTGTCAAACGATTAATCGCATCCAAAATAAAAGTTTTTGTTTACATAATGTATGTATGTGTACTGTGTTTATTTATTATGTAAATATAAATACACACACATTCAGTATATATTTTGGAAAAAAATATATATATATATTATATATAAATATAGTTTATATATAAACATGCATGTGTTTGTATTTATATATACATAATAAATATACACAGTACACACATATATTATGTAAACATTTTTATTTTGGATGCGATTAATCGTTTGACAACACTAAAATTTACTTTTTGCATTTAAAATGATTAAATCTTACAAGATTTTCAAGTTTTCTTTTTAAAGGGATAGTCCACCCAAAAATGAAAATGTCATTTTCTGTTGTTGGTAAAAACTGTTTTGGTACCCATCGACTTCCATTGTATTTTTTGTCCACACAATGGAAGTCAATGGGAAACTGTATATTTACCAGCATTCTTTAAAATATTACATTTCATGTTCCCCAGAAAAAAGAAAATCATACAGGTTTGGAATGATATGATGGTGAGAAAGGTAGAGAAATTATAGAAATTATGACAGAATGTTTATTTTGGGGTGGACTATTCCTTTAACTTACTGAGACAAAATAGTGTAAAATTTTAATATCTGCGTTTTATACATAACATGAGACTAATTATCAGCTTATCGGTATCAGCCAGAATTATAATATCCGTGTATTTCTATCTCTTAACAAAATCTGGTAATGTAGATGTACTTAAAATAATTATTGAACCCATATATTTGTGCAGGAGGAGAAGGCGGAGGGCTTAATCAAGATCGGCAGCCACAATATAGAGAGCGCAGGAGAACACAAGAGGAAGTAGTGAGTATTTTCTGCACCAGATAGAACATGCTGGTTCTGGTTACCCAATCATTATTTGCAGCCGAGTCAAATTTAAAGGGAAGCGTATCTGTTGACTGAACGTTAAACCCTGTTCAGCTTGATTGTTTGTGTTCACACTGTCATAAAGAAACAGAAGTCGTCGGTCTCCTCTGACTCTATGTTTGTGGTTGGCTGCGAGAGTATCAGACGCAGGAGGGCAGTTAGCCAGAGATGTGTGAATAACAGAATTACACTTTACATTCCTCGGATCTTCCCCCGCAGTCCACAGACACTGAACAGCACAACCTGCCACCATGATGACAAATGAGTTTTTATTGTTTCATTAAGCTGCTAAGGCCTCTGCCCTAAGATTAAGGGGTATTATCATCTGATTTCTTTCTCTCTTTCTCTTTATCTCCTAGTGTATTTCAAATGTGCCACCAGCGCTTCCAGAATTTTTTCTTCGCTGCTGATAATGTAAAAGACATGAGCAAGTGAGTGTGGCTGCATATAAACATGCATTTTCTCTACCGCTGCATCCAAACGACAGTCATTCATTACTGAGAATTACATTGCTTAGAGAGGCATTGCATTTTGTACAAATTGTTTTGTAAAAAGTGGCAAAATGTCACAATGATTAGATCTTGCTGTGCATCTGCAGTTTCTCTTCATGTGCAAATGATTGTGCTTTAACCTTTGAATTAAAGTAGATGTGTTAGATGCAATGACATTGCATTTTTAGGGGTGGAATGTGTGATGTGAAAGTACTTTTTTAAAGTTTAATGTACATAGCCAACTATAAGCGATTCACAGGTTGACTTCACAAATAGTGTGAGGGAGTTTAGAGTAGATTGCATATATTGACAGCCGAGTATTTGTACACTATCTGCACTGTTTTATTAATATACAGGTCAGGTAATGGTGTATACAGACTCGCAAGATCTGACACAATTCCAGACCTTGTAATTCGAGTGCTAGTGAAGTAGACTACCATGATCTAGCAGACTTTGCAAGGGCAATTTATTCTTCATCATGAAAATTTATATCTTTTAAAGTACGTATGTCATATTGCTTTATATTACTGAGAATAAAAATGGTCAAATGTGACCCTGGACTACAAAACCAGTCATAAGGGTCAATTTTTTGAAATTGAGATTTATACATCATCCGAAAGCTGAATAAATAAGCTTTCCACTGATGTATGGTTTGTTAGGATAGGACAATATTTGGCCGAGATACAACTATTTGAAAATCTGAAATCTGAGGGTGCAAAAAATCTAAATATTGAGAAAATCGCCTTTAAAGTTGTCCAAATGAAGTTCTTAGCAATGCATATGTCTAATTACGTTTTAAATTACAAAAATTACGTTTTAATATATTTACAGTAGGAAATCTACAAAATATCTTAATGGAACATGATCTTAATATCCTAATGATTTTTGGCATAATATATGGCTAAATTTAAATAATCTTAAGACTTATTTGGGCCCCTAGAAGCTTGCTGAAGCCCCCTAGTGGGATCGGCCCCCTGGTTGAGAACCATTTTTCTAATGGCAAAGAAATTCCACAATTTACTTTTAATATAATTTAATATGATACCATGAATGGGCTGGAAAGGCTTGGAATTTTTTGTACATATATATATATATATATATATATA